GTTCCATATCACAAAGGGAATGCTGGGATTGATTTTGGGGGTAATTGCCTCAAAATTTTAGGAATTAGGGGCCAAAAAAGGGGCAAAAAACAAGCATTTTTCTAGTTTCATGACAATAACTTGTGTGTAAGTCTATGGATCTTTCTGAAATTGTACTACAAGGTTCCATATCACAAAGGGAAAGCTGGGTTTGAGTTTGGGGGTAATTGCCCTAAACATTTAGGAATTTGGGGCCAAAAAGGGGCCAAAAACAAGCATTTTTCTAGTTTCCAGACAATAACTTGTGTTCAAGTGTATGGATCTCTCTGAAATTGTACTGCAAGGTACCATACCTCAAAGGGAAGGCTGGGATTGAGTTTGGGGGTGATGAATCATAAGGGAGTTCAAAAATTGGGTGGGGGGATTTTTTTTTTCTATTTTAAGACTTTTATGATGTATTTAAATTGATAATTATGGTAATTATTGGGGGGGGGGGGTGAAAAAAAATTAGGGGGGGAGGGGGGTAAAAATGAAATTGTGGGGACAATTTTTTTTTTCATTTCAGATTACAGAAATTAATAAGAAAATTTCTTCAAATATTATTTTTCTTTTTGCAAAGAAAAGGGGGGGGGGGGATTTTTTTTTTTTTTGGGGGGGGGGGGGGGTCAATACGCAACAACATAATATAATAGTGTATTTCACAAAAGCAAAAAAAAGGGGGGGTTCAATTTCGCAACAGCATAGTGAATTGCACAAAAGCAAAAAATTGAATATAAATTCAAATCATATAACCAATTCTAAGTTATTTGACTACAGTGATTTGGTGTCAGAAACCTATTATGTGTCAAATATTTATTTACAATCCAAATTCAGACCTGTATCAAGTCCATTTTTATCCCAACTGTTCAGGGTTGGACCTCTGTGGTCGTATCCAGCTGCACTCCGCGAAGCATTTTATTAGTGTTGTTGCCTATTATCTTGAAAACTATTATAGATAGATACAAATTTAAATAAGCCAAAATGATCAACAAGACAAGATCTACCAATAAGTCAAGATAATCAAAATCATATGACTACTCCTTATTGGAGTTATTGCTTTTTAATGACAAGTTTTACCCCTTTTTTTAGTGTTTTTGCCTATTATCTTGAAAACTATAATGTATAGATAAAAACTTAAATAAGCTTAAATATAAATCAGCAATACAAGAGATGTACAAAACATTCTAATGTCTAAAATCTTTATGTGACTTTTTATTTGAGTCATTGCCCTTAAGTGACAATTTTTTGCGTTTTTATGCCTTTGCAGAGGGAGCACAAAGTTTTACCCTGTACAAGTATTTTTATTTATTTGAAGAAATAAATATTAATATACTTATATAAGTAAATTTGTAAGATACTTGTATAAGTGTATTTTATTTACTTGTTTAGGTAAAGTTTTTTATTGGCTTAGTTATGTCCCTTTAGACATTCAGATTTTTTTACTTATACAAGTAAATAAGTCATACTATCTTCTTTTCTTGAATTTCTCAGGACTTTTTTGCACTAATAGAACTTTTAATTGTCTGTCCTTTGCAGATATCTTTACTTATCATGTAAGTGTAATTTCATGGACAATGAAAATCTCATTTGTCTGTTATCTTCAGAACACTGCTCATTTACAAGCCCCCAAGGGGCAATTTTTAAAGGCCTTGCACTATTAGTTTCTTTGTTGAATCAATGAGGTGAAACATTGAACTCTAATAAAAAATTATAAACTAACCAGAGAAAAATCATTAAAGGCATGTTTTTACATCTAAAAACTAGAGAATTTAAGGGATTGTAAAAAAAAATTACTTATAATACAAGTAAATTTTTTGAGAAAATTAAGGGGAGATTATTCAAACATTATAAGAATAATGAACATAACAAAACTTACTTATATAAGTATATTATTATTTACTTCTTCAAGAAAATAAAAATTACTTGTACAAGTAGTACCCCAGCTGAATGCCAAATGTTATGGAACTTATACACAATGCTTATTACCACAAAACTCAGATCAAATTCAAATTTTGGTGGTGTCACTTTTACCATTCTTGAGTTATGTCCCTTTATAACACTATTTGCAAGCGGGAGCATCATTTGTGTCCCATGGACACATTCTCCATTTATTACTTAATATCTTTTAAAAACTTGAGTAGATAGATAAAAACTATTAAAAAGGGAAATATAATCAGCAAGACAAGATCTACAAATAATTCAGCGGAAATCATCAGTCGACTCCTTTTTGTCGAGCCTTCGACTTTTGTCGAAAAAGCAAGACATAGCGATCCTACATTCCGTCGGCGTCTGCGGCGTCCACAAATATTCACTCTGTGGTTAAAGTTTTTGAAATTTTAATAACTTTCTTATTCTATCCTGGATTTCTACCAAACTTGGACAGAAGCTTGTTTATGATCATAAGATAATATTCAAAAGTAAATTTTGTAAAAAAAAAATTCCATTTTTTCAGTATTTTAGTTATAAATGGACTTAGTTTTTCTGCCAGGAAACATTACATTCACTCTGTGGTTAAAGTTTTTGAAATTTTAATAACTTTCTTAAACTATCCTGGATTTGTACCAAACTTGGACAGAAGCTTGTTTATGATCATGAGATAATATTCAAAAGTAAATTTTGTTAAAAAAAAAAATCCATTTTTTTCCGTATTTTACTTATAAATGGACTTAGTTTTTCTGTCAGGAAACATTACATTCACTCTGTGGTTAAAGTTTTTGAAATTTTAATAACTTTCTTAAACTGTCCTGGATTTGTACCAAACTTGGACAGAAGCTTGTTTATGATTAAAAGCTAGTATCTAGAAGGAAATTTTGTTCCATTTTTTCCGTATTTTACTTATAAATGGACTTAGTTTTTCTTCCAGTTAACATTACATACAGTCTGCAGTTTAAGTTTTTAAAACATTTATTAGATTCATAAACTTTCCTGGATTTTTACCAAACTTGGACAGAAGCAACTTACAATCAAAAGATAGTATAGAGAGGAATATTTTTATTAATTTTTTTCCTCATTTTTGTTGAGCCTGTGATTAACAGCAAAAAGTAGGCGAGACACTGGGTTCCGCGGAACCCTTACGAATTTTTGGAGTTATTGCTCTTTAATGACGATTTCTACCTATTTTCTTTGTTTATGCATATCATTTAGAAATATAAAAGATAGATAGACACTTCAAATAGCAAAAACTATCAGCAAGATAAACACTACTTGTTCTAAGTTGACATGGTGGAAATCGTCAATTGACTACTTATTTGAGTTCTTGCTCTTAAATTACAATTTTTACCAATTTTTGGCCTATTATTTTGCAAATTATAAAAGATAGAAATTCACTGTAAATAGAAAAAATGATCAACAAGACAAGTTCTACAAATAAGTCAACTTGTGAAGATGAACATAGACCTAGGTGAGCGACACAGGCTCTAAAGAACCTCCAGTTGCAGTTCATATTCGTATCTCATTAAGTTTTATAACATGTTCTCTTCCTGCTATGCATTATATATATTTGCCATTAGATGTCAGACACCGATACATCATCAACATCTATGAAGGAAAATTATAATAATAAGAAATACATCACAGGAGTCTGGTATGCAAGGTTAAACCAGACTTGACTGTACAGAATTCAGCCAGTCGTGTATTGTTCACGTTCTTTTACTCCAAAATTAAAGTGGTCAGTCAGAAGTGCAGATTATATAGTTCATTTCTTTGTGAAATCTAGGTTATTTCAAGCGTTACTGTCTAGTTTTGTTTTAATCAGTTCCATAGTTTGAGAGAAATTTAACATAAAGTAACATGACATCTACAGCGATTTGATCAAAATTTCTTCATAAAATCCAAATCACGCAAGCATCATGATAGAATATAGTGTGGATCAATAATACCATCAATAAATGATTAAATATTCATTTCATCTGCATAAAAACAGTTGAATATGATACAAAAGAAGACTATAAGATGATGAAAACCACTAATGTACCTCTTTGTCTTTATTATGAGGTCCCTTATGGTCCATTTATACCTCTCTTTACCTCAAATTTTTTACTTTTTAGGTTTTCATACAAATATTTAATTCTTAATACTGATTTGAGAGTAAGCGTGTGATCCTCCAGATAGAGAGTGATGTTTATGAGTGCACGTGTGGTTATGGTGTCTGATTACTTTTGTATATCATGTGTTATATGATTTTTGAAATACATGTATAATGATATGTATTTTCTATACAAATTGTTTTCATCTTTCACTCCTTTTCTGTGTTTAAGTGAATCATGGGTTTTCTTTCCATATAAATATAAGATGACGTGGTATGATTGCCAATGAGACAACTATCATCATATATTTTTTTACGATTTTCATCAAATTTTCTTCGCTCGCCAAGATATTTTACAGCTTTCAATAAAAATTCCTTCTTCCCAATAGAAGACATTCATTGCCTTTGTTTGAAAATCATTTATGACTTCGACAAGTTTTTGGAGCACTTGTACAAATTAAATGTAATTGAAGCGCTTGTTTGCAAACTTAAACTGAATGTTAATAAGTTTCTGTTAATAGAGTTTTGAAAAAACCAAGAGATATGGACAAGATTGAAGAAATATTTTGTAAAATAATTCTTGTGGTAAAATGATTATAGAATCACAAGAACGTTAAGGAAAACAATTTTGACGTGCAAATGGCCAAAATACGATTTTACCATGGTCTTTTCTGAAGCTCTGCCTCTGGAAAATTATACAAACAAAGTTACAAGCCTAATGGTTATCATTTTATGAACTGCACTGGTTAGTGATCATTCTGCAGTAATTTCGTCAATTTCTGAGACAGGGCAATTTTGACCATTCGTGGCCCTACTCCTCTCCCATGTTTCCTGTGTCGAAAAGGGGGTGAAGACAATGTACCAGTTCAGACTTTACAAGGCTGATTACAGTACATGTTTATTCAGATAAAAACAGTGAATTTTATTTGTATAATTGCAACAATTTGATATTTTTTAGGTGCGTGTTCCAGAAGGAAACCAATTCAAAAACAAAGTAACATGGATTCCTAATACAATAAATCTGAAGTTCAGTAATCTAACAACAGATGATACAGGATTTTTCGATGTTTCTATAACTATTTTTGAAGCAGGGAAGGCTGAAAGTAAAGATAAAAATGGAACTTTCCAGCTGACTGTCAATGGTTAGTTCCAGTCCATTATTGATATATTTTTAAAATCTTCATATATCCTATCCGATCCTAGAACTCTTTTCAAAATAACTGTACGGCCAGGATACTTTGATTGTCACAAGCTTTTCTATTATTTTATTGAAAGACATCTCACCTCTCAAGGCCAGGTTAGTTGACACAATTTGATGCAACTAATATAATTCCTTGAGAAAACTTTTTAGTGCACCTGTACACCGCTTTACACCTGCTAACTTTTCTCTATCATTTGGTAATTTCAAGGCAGTCATTTTTGCTAACGCCTCTGCACGTTTTAAAAAATGTGCAAGGATATTGTTTCCACTTCACGCAAACACCTTCAAATATCTATATTTCCTGCATTAGAGCCACTGCAGACATGAAATTGTTGTAACAATATCAAATCATACAAAACCAATACTGTATAACATGTTATAATGGTCTCATACAACGATCTGTGTGATATAACATTTTATAATGGCCTCATAAAACTATCTATGTGGTATGACATGTTATAATGGTCTCATACAACTATCTATGTGATATAACATGTTATAATGGTCTCATACAAGGATCTATGTGATATAACATGTTAAAATGGTCTCATACAAGGATCTATGTGATATAACATGTTATAATAGTCTCATACAAGGATCTATGTGATATAACATGTTATAATGGTCTCATACAATGATCTATGTGATATAAAATTGAGAATGGAAATGGGGAATGTGTCAAAGAGACAACAACCCGACCATAGAACAGACAACAGCAGAAGGTCACCAACAGGTCTTCAATGCAGCGAGAAATTCCCGCACCCGGAGGCGTCCTTCAGCTGGCCCCTAAACAAATATATATACTAGTTCAGTGATAATGAACGCCATACTAAACTCCAAATTGTACACAAGAAACTAAAATTAAAAATAATACAAGACTAACAAAGGCTAGAGGCTCCTGACTTGGGACAGGCGCAAAAATGCGGCGGGGTTAAACATGTTTATGAGATCTCAACCCTCCCCCTATACCTCTAGCCAATGTAGAAAAGTAAACGCATAACAATACGCACATTAAAATTCAGTTCAAGAGAAGTCCGATTCTGATGTCAGAAGATGTAACCAAAGAAACATGTTATAATGGTCTCATAAAACTATCTATGTGATATAACATGTTATAATGGTCTCATAAAACTATCTATGTGATATAACATGTTATAATGGTCTCATAAAACTATCTATGTGATATAACATGTTATAATGGTCTCATACAAGGATCTATGTGATATAACATGTTATAATGGTCTCATACAAGGATCTATGTGATATTACATGTTATAATAGTCTCATACAAGGATCTATGTGATATAACATGTTATAATGGTCTCATACAAGGATCTATGTGATATAAAATTGAGAATGGAAATGGGGAATGTGTCAAAGAGACAACAACCCGACCATAGAACAGACAACAGCAGAAGGTCACCAACAGGTCTTCAATGCAGCGAGAAATTCCCGCACCCGGAGGCGTCCTTCAGCTGGCCCCTAAACAAATATATATACTAGTTCAGTGATAATGAACGCCATACTAAACTCCAAATTGTACACAAGAAACTAAAATTAAAAATAATACAAGACTAACAAAGGCTAGAGGCTCCTGACTTGGGACAGGCGCAAAAATGCGGCGGGGTTAAACATGTTTATGAGATCTCAACCCTCCCCCTATACCTCTAGCCAATGTAGAAAAGTAAACGCATAACAATACGCACATTAAAATTCAGTTCAAGAGAAGTCCGATTCTGATGTCAGAAGATGTAACCAAAGAAACATGTTATAATGGTCTCATAAAACTATCTATGTGATATAACATGTTATAATGGTCTCATAAAACTATCTATGTGATATAACATGTTATAATGGTCTCATAAAACTATCTATGTGATATAACATGTTATAATGGTCTCATACAAGGATCTATGTGATATAACATGTTATAATGGTCTCATAAAAATATCTATGTGATATAACATGTTATATTGGTCTCATACAAGGATCTATGTGATATAACATGTTATAATGGTCTCATACAAGGATCTATGTGATATAACATGTTATAATGGTCTCATAAAACTATCTATGTGATATAACATGTTATAATGGTCTCATAAAACTATCTATGTGATATAACATGTTATATTAGTCTCATACTAGGAACTATGTGATATAACATGTTATAATGGTCTCGTACAAGGATCTATGTGATATAACATGTTATAATGGTCTCATAAAACTATCTATGTGATATAACATGTTATATTGGTCTCATACAACTATCTATGTGATATAACATGTTATATTGGTCTCATACAACTATCTATGTGATATAACATGTTATAATGGTCTCATAAAACTATCTATGTGATATAACATGTTATATTGGTCTCATACAACTATCTATGTGAAATAAAAATCTTAATAATCATAGAACGCTACAGTTTATACTCCACCTATTAAAAAGGAGAGTTTCACCACTTTGTCAGTTGGTTAGATTTTACTTAGAACTATATTTATTCCCCAGCTTTAAAAAAGGTGGGGTATACGTCAGTCCATCCGTCAGTCCGTCCGTCCCATGAATATTTTTCGTCGCATCTTTCTCAGGAACTACATTACAAGGATTTTTGAAATTTGGTTTCAGGGTTTATATGAGTCAGCTATACCGTATGATGCGTTTTCAGATTCATCACTCAACAACTTCCTGTTTACCTTATACTTTTAGCGGGGCAGGGGTATCATTAGTGAGCAGTAGCTCACAGATTCACTTGTTTTATTTAAAAATAGATTGATCAACAAAAAATCCAATGCTTCCTGATGCATGATGCATTGTTTAACAGAAACAGAATATTCATTATGACATATATGATTAACAATGGGAATTTCCAATTTTCAAAAAAATAACGTTTAATTTTCAAGAAAAACAAATGTCAGATCATCTAATGATCATGTAACAGATATGTTGCTTCCTGTCTTCAAACATGTGTAATCTCTCCTGTACAACTAACTAAAGGTTGGCTGGAGAATAAAAGGTGTTTACCTCCCATTGGACATTAAAACCCATGCTATTTAAGAGGGCGACGGTTTGGATTTGTGGGATGTATAAATACACAAACACTTCCAGTCGTAATAAGTATGCTTAATGTGATGGCTCATGTAAGGAGATAACCACGGTCTCAACACAACAAGTTTTAAGAGGGGTTCGTAGGTGGCCTGTTGCAATCAAAATTTCTTACCATATCCAAGATATTTAACAATTTTTTAGTCCCCTACTGACGAAGTCGAAGTGGAATATATGTTTGCATTCTGTCCGTCTGTCCATCTGTCAGTCCGGCAAATCAGTTTTCCACACTTTTTTTCTTCGTTCTTGAAGATATTGATTTGATATTTGGTATATAGTTTTGCCATGACAATTTATAGATCAAGTTTGAATTTTGTTCCGGTCTGATGATTTAGTCCAGAGTTATGGACCATAACTCTGGACCATATCTAATGTTAAGAGTACTATGTTAAACCATATTTCTGTACAAAGGGAGATAACTCATTTTTTAAAAGACATTCTTTGGTAAATTATATGAAGAATTTTTTGGCAGGTTTGTTTGTTATTTTGTATAAACTAATTTTCTGAATGCTATATATATATATAAAAATTATGAAGTGTAATCCTCTAATTAGATAATAATCTATTTTTTAATAATGTATATATTACATTACATTGTGTAGATAAAAATTGTTGACATTTTATAGATAAGTTACTAATCTATATTAGTTTGTGACAAATAAAAGAAAAAATATTTGGAACTATTAATTATATTTGATTATAATTTGAAAATAGATATACACTGTATTACATCATATCTAATTTTAGAGAACTATTAGTCATAACTTATGTTAAAGTGTTTTCCACACTTTTTTCCATCATGCTTGAAGATATTGATTGATAATTAGTATATAGTTTTATCATGACAAGTTATACAGATCAAGTTCGAAATTTTGTTTCGGTCTGATAATTTTGTGCAGAGTTATGGTCCTTGGACTTGAAAAATTCACTCATTTAATCAGTTTTCCACACTGTTTTTAGTCATGTTTGAAGATATTGACTTGATATTTTCTTTTTGTTTACACAATGACAAGTTATTGAACAAGTTAGCTTTTTGTTCCAGTATAATGAATTTTTACTCGGTTAGGGACTATGTATTGCCATGCAATACTCTCAGAATGCTTGTTTTAATGACAGTCAACTTTATCCGTTATCAATGTAGACCAACTTTGCAGACTCTACTTTTTGTCTTGCCTACGACGAAATTCGCAGTATAGGTATTTCAATCCGGCGATGACGGTGTAAACTATTTGTTAAAAGCTTTATATTTTGGAAGATGGAAGACCTAGATTCTTCATACCTTGGGTGCAGATACCTAATGTTACGAAGTTTCGGTCTTTCATATGTCCATTGTCCTTGACCACATTTTCATGGTTCAGTGACTGCTTGCAAATAAAAAAAAATACAGTTATTTGGAAAAGTGAAATACTCACCTATTATGATTAATAGGATAACTATAATTGGTATATGGGTTCCTTGCAACGTCTACATGTCCGTCAGGTGGGGTTCATCTGACCTCGACCTTTTTCCTAGGATTGTTGATCAAGGTTAAAGTTACCTGGTAAAGTCCGTATCTCAGTTACTATAAGCACTAAGTTTTTGTGATTTGGTCTATTTCTCAGATACTATAAGCAATAGGGTCACTATATTTGGTGTATGGAATGATTGTCAGGTGTCCATGTCCGTCTGACCTTGATCTTATTTTCATGGTTCATTGGACAATGTTTAGTTTTTATACGACCGCAAAAATTGAAAATTTTTTGGTCGTATATTGGTATGACGTTGGCGTCGTCGTCGTCGTCTGGCGTCGTCCGGCGTCGTCCGAAGACACATTGGTTTTCGCACTCTAACTT